ACGGAAGAGTTTGGATGCCCCTCGCTGTGTAGTCTCCCAGAACACCTTCAGGCCTGTCATCCACAGTGACTTTCCCCAGCTTGGTGTGAGCTGCCACCACAGGGAAGACCAATGAAGCCAGAGGCCTACTGCCAGAAGGGCACACACGGAGCCTGAGTGACAAGTCAGCCACGAGCACTATTACAAAGACTTGGTTTTGGATCCACAGAGATGGTCCCAGCCAGAGGGTTCCCCCGAGCAGCTCCTCTCCAAACAGACCACCTGGGGTGCAGTCCCTTCCACACTGGGTCTGCCATCTTGGCATCTTCCTTCCACCCTCCACACCACACACCAGCCACACGGCAGAGAGGAGCACCGTGAGGCCCTGAGAGGACTCGGGCGCTAGGAGTGCTGGCAGATTTGCTTGTACTGGAAAAAGAAACATTTTGCTGAGCTCCTGGAATGGTCGGTCTCACAACAGACAACAGTTTTCTACCAAACAACTTTCAGTAAGCATCAATTTTATCTTTTCATCTCAACTTCAGATTTTTATATTCTATAAAATTGCGACTTATAGGGAAAATTAAAAAAAACTATAATTTCCTTGAGACAGTATAAAAAAAATGTAACCTACACAAGCATTTCCTGGAATCCTCCTTAGCCTCGAGGAACAGACTCTCATTGTAGCCCGCCCACCACAGATGGACATGCCTAGGCAGTTGTGACAATGAGAAATGGTTCACCGATGAGCTTTGTGTAATTTAAAAAATCCTACAGGAGGCCAGGCAGGTATGGTGCTTGTAGGGGAGGCTGAGGCAGGAAGATCTGGAGTTCAAGACCAGACTGGAGGACATAGCAAGATTTTGTCTCAAAACATGAAGGAAGGAAGGAAGGAAGGAAGGAAGGAAGGAAGGAAGGAAGGAAGGAGAAGGATGAAAGAAAGGGAGGGAGGGACATGAATGGAGACTACAGGGCTGGCAGCCGCCTTCACCTTGGCTGGGAGCGTGACTCGGGCTTGGTGCCTCAGACTTGCCAGGGTGGTTCTGAAGGGGAAAAGCTGTACAAGAGAAACTGCTCTTCTATTTTATTTTCTTTGAATTTTTAATATTTATTGTTTATGAAAGAACATCAGAATTTTCTACATCAACTGTTTTTTGGTGTACTAAGTCTGAAAAAAAAAGCAAGTAAATTTGTATATGAATTACAATTAAAATACCAATAGCACTTTACAAAAAAATTCTTTATTTCAATTATCAAACCAGGGCAGTCTGCACACATGACAACAGCACATTCCACACACGTGTATCGCCTGTGCTGGCTGGCAGCACACGTGTTTTGCTTTCTTGGACTTTTTGTAGGACATACCTGACACCTCAGTGGCCTTGCTGTTTTGTGAAACTGCTCTTTTAGAAGCGTTGTTCTTTTGAAACTGTCCGGCTCTGTAACTGCTTCGGGGCTTTGTAGCTGCTTTCTTAACCCCTGTAAGCCACGAGAGCACGACCAAACGACGATCTCACCCTGCTCGCCAACCAGAAGAGCTGCCAGGCTGCCCTGTCTCTCCTTTGCCCCTTTTTGGTGCCTCCTGCTTGGGCACCACACAAAAGCCCTGGACCCCCGAGATTGGGGCTGATATTTTGGAAGTGATCCGGATCAGTGCCCATTGACCTGCGTAAATCCACCTCCCAATCCTGGGAGTCACTTCCGGGTGTCTGCTTGCCCTTGCAGGCTGAGGCCCTGGGCCTGACCTCCAGGGTGGGTGTGACCTCTGTGTGCTGCGGGTGCTTTCCTGTAATCCTCACACTCAGGAGGGGCGAGCAGCAGGCTGGGGACAAGGCTGGGGACAGGGTCTGCGTTCAGTCTCCAGAATCAACATACACACACACACACACACACACACACACACACA